CAGTACACCTTCGACAGATTTAATCAATTAATGTAACAACAAAACATTTGTCATTTCAAACAGTCTAAGAAAGCATGACTTTGTGTAATGCCAAAATATTGAACACACAAAAATATGTAGGACCATAACAGCATATAAGTATTTATAAATGCTTAGAATTTCAATATCTGAAATAAATGTTCTGCTTTTTGTCAAGCTTGCAAATTTATTTCACGAAAGCGAGACAGTGATCCTAGATTCTGCCAGAGGCGGCGTCGCTGTCCTAAAATTTAGGTTCAGTCTGTGGTTAAATTTTTTTTGAACATCGATAACTTTGTCAAACAAACATGGGATTTTGTGAAATTGAGACAGAATATTCAAAGCTTCTTAATGACCAAACTACAGTATCCAAGGCAAAATTTTGAAAATATTTTTTTTCATTTTTCTGTATTTCAACTAATAAATGGGCTTAGTTTTTATGATGAGCTTGCGACTTCCGTTGCAGAAAGCTCGACATAGGAATATTGATCAGGCGGCTGCGTCCATGGTGGGGTTAACAAACTTCTTAAAATCTTTATATTTTAGAAGGTGGAAGACATACTATGTACAAAGTATATAGATGCTTATGTATGTTATGAAGTTTCTGTCAGTCAACTGTCCATTGTCCTTGAACTCATTTTCATGGTTCAGTGATTACTTGAAAAAATGAAGATTTTTTGTAATGTTAATGTCTCTCATAATTTCTCTCTTATTAATATTATTTATAGTATTCATGGTAATAGGATATTTATATTTACTTAGTATGTGGGTACCTTGCAAGGTCCTAGTGTCTGTCTACTCTGTCAGAAAGTTTTCGTGGTCAAGTCAATATCTCAGGTATTATAAGCAATAAGTCTACTATATTTGGTGTATGGAATTATTGTAAGGTGTAGATGTCCAACTAGTAGTTGTAATCTGGCCTTTACCTCATTTTAATGGTTCAGTAATAAGTTTTTATGTTTTGGTCTAATTTTTGGATACTATAAGCATTCAGTAAATTATAATTGGTGTATGGAATGTTTGTAAGGTGTACTGATCTAAAATTGAGAATGGAAATGGGGAATGTGTCAAAGAGACAGCAACCCGACCAAAGAGCAAAAAACAGCCAAAGGCCACCAATGGGTCTGACAGTAATCACCTGAACTTGACCTCATCTTCATGGTTCATTGGATATTTTTTTCTTGCTTAGTCTGTTTTCCAGATACTATAAAGTAAAGGTGAACTATAATTGGTTTCTGGAATGATTGTAAATTGAAATTGTAAGGTGTTTAGGTTTAACTTTACATTCATCTTGCAGGCTTCATCTGACCTTAACCTTATTTTCATTGTTCATTGGTCAATATTAAATTTCTCTTGATTTGGTCTTTTTTTAGATACTAAAAGTATAGGTGAACTACTTTATGTTTATGGAATGATTGTAAGGTGTTTATATTTGTCTTTCAGGTACAATTCTTGCCAGATTTTTTAAAACTTATTCTATAGGTTAATATCAGCATAATCCTAGTCAAGTTTTATAAATTTGGCAGATCAACTTTTGTCAAAAGAGTTATGCCCCTTGGAAATAATAAATTTATGGAAAATGGCCTCGTAAATGCTCTCATTTTTTTATTTAACTGATACATGTAGTATACTATTATAGTAATGCCCTTGAAGGTCGGTTTGAAATATTTATTATACAAGAAAAAGAACTTGTTTTCCCCCAAGCACATTTTTATTTATAAATATTTTTGAGAACAAAAAATAAAATTGAGAATGGAAATGGGGAATATGTCAAAGAGACAACAACCTGACCAAAGAGCAAAAAAACATGTTTTTTTTTAATATTGCCCCTTGATAGATAAAAAATGTACGACTAGTTGGACATTGAAACTCTGTTCTTTTATTTTTACTTGCAGGAACTGAAAAGTAAAGAAACAGAACCGAAGAACATTAATTTTAGATTAATACAATATTGAACTCAAAGTCAATTTAGTTGTCTTTCTTAATCATACAGGATATTTCCAAAAAAGCAGCTGCATACTCATGCACCAGTAATTGCCAGCAGTGAAGACAATTAAATATCTGTGTATGGTGATATAGCAATAGAAATATCACATACATCATAGGAAAATAGAAATGGAGTATGTCAAAGAGACACACATAATGACATATGAAAATAGAATATAGACAATAGAAATGGAGTATGTCAAAGAGACACACATATGAAAATAGAATATAGACAATAGAAATGGGGTATGTCAAAGAGACACACATATGAAAACAGAATATAGACAATAAAATTGGGGTATGTCAGAGAGACAAACATGAAAATAGAATATAGACAATAGAAATAGGGTATATCAAAGAGACAAACATATGAAAATAGAATATAGACAATAGAATTTGGGTATGACAAAGAGACAAAAATATTAAAAATAGAATACAGACAAAAGAAATGGGGTATGCCAAAGAAACAAACATATGAAAATAGAATATAGACAATAGAAATGGGGTATGTCAAATAGACTAACATATGAAAATAGAATATAGACAATAGAAATGGTGAATGTCGAAGAGACAAACAAACCTAAATAGAATATACTAGACAATAGAAATGTGGTATGTCAAAGAGACAAAAATATGAAAATAGAAGAGACAACAAGTTAATAAAAAAAAAAATTCTACTTGATATAAAAATTATGGAGCACTGTTATTTTTCTGCATAAAAGAATGCCTGTATACAGTTGTTTTTTATTTGTTTGGGCTTTTGATTTTGCCATGTATTTTCTGTGGAGTTTGGTATTTTGGGTTATTTACTTCTTAAAGCAACAATTCATCACAATGAAGTATTTACACTCAAAATGAGTTGCTGACAGAAAAAAAGATAACAAAGAAAAACATATTAAAACATCAAAACATAACTCTAAAAAAACTACCGCAAAAAAAAAAAATACATATATATACAAACCATGTTTAGAATCTATGAGAAAATAAATGCATTTGAACAATTAAAAACATATAAAAAATATATATTTAGGACCAAGATAAATTCATATGAAAACATATGTTTGGGCCAAACATATGAAAACATATGTTTAGGACAAACATATGAAAACATATGTTTAGGCCAGGTATGAAAACATATGAAAAACATATGTTTGTAAAAAACATATGAAAAACATATGTTTTCCATATGTTTACATGTATGAAAAACATATGTTTTTCATATGATTTTAAAAACATATGTTTTTCATATGTTTTCCATATGTTTTTCATATGTTCGAAAACATATGTTTTCATGTCGGGCCTAAACATATGTTTACATATGTTTTCAAACATATGAAAAACATATGTTAAACATATGAAAACATATGTTGCAATTTTTCCTATGTACAACCAAACTTCAAAACCGAATTTTTATATCTAAGGAAGAATTTAATAAAGGATTTAAGTAATTTGTGGTAATGAAATCACTGACTAAATAATTTACCAGTTATACATATATTACGTTCATTGAAATCAAAAACGTTATAACAGATACGGGCATATCGAACGAGTTGGGATATATTACCACAGAAAAGAACATCACCATCCAAAAAACGAAAATCACAATAGAGAACGAAAAATCGTCCCTTTTGTCATAAATTTTAGTGTAGTATGTTTAATTGCGTAAACAATGAAATTACACATTATCTTTTTACAGAATGCTAAAACAAAGGAGATATAACATATCATTTGCATATTTTATCAACATAAAAGCTATCACCAGTAAATGAATTGTAGTCTAAAACGATTATTTCAATCTTAATATCACCTGCAAAGTTTGAAATTAAAAACGTCTAGTCTTGTTTGGAATAGTTAAGTTATATTTTCATTTATCTTCTAATAAATTCATTACTGTTAGACTTTACCATTTGTGTTCGTAAACATACATATTAATGTTGGTTAGAATCCCAGTTGAGACCTAGCATCGTAAATACTTGAAACATAAAGAGTTGTTCACTATACATCCTAAATATTGATCTCCAAAGATCATTAACTTAAGGAAGAACCTCAGTTTACTGACGGATGTATTTGAAGACTATGCTGAAATTAGTTAATAGTGAGCCAGATGAAAACAAACTTAATGCAACTGTCATATATGTAAAAAGTTTAGCTAGCTATAAAACCAGGTTTAATTTAACATTTTCTACATAAGAAAATGCATGTACCAAGTCAGGAATACCACAGTTGTTATCCATTCGTTTGATGTGTTTGAGCTTTTCATTTTGCCATTTGTTCAGGGAATTTCCGTTTAGAATTATTCTCGGAGATCTGTATTTTTGTTATTTCCTTTTTTTGCACACTTTACCAAAAGTGACCAATGCGTTTTAGTGATGCCTAAAAACTAATGAATTGCATGAAAATATTGGTCGCACACTTTAAAGGAGCCGGTGGTTGAGGATTCTGTATATCCTCTTTGCAACATATACTTGGAAACATCTTTATAAGAAATGCCTTATAAGCATTGTTTGTGCACAAACCAAAGCTGGGAATTCCACATATACTTCCAAAGCACTCATTAAAAAGGACATTTACGAAAATCACAAATCCGTCCTTATCTGTGGTATTGACATCAATTCAATAAAACCTGATAAAATGAAATGTTTAATTTTGTCAATCAAATGAACAAATGGAAAATAACTATCATATTCCTTACTTGACAAATGCGTTCTCCAAGGAAAATGGTGGGTTTCGCCTAGTTTTATATCTAGCTAAACAAGTTTAAACAAGTTTCATAAATATAGGGAATAACTTGGGTTTATGCAAAGCTTTAAAGGTAAGGGTATCGGTATCGAGATCCATCATCACTTTTCAGTTCGTTGAAATCATCAAGGTGGCAGCAATGCCTATTAGTAATGCTAATTACTGATACGATAATACCATCCAAAATATATCTACAATAATCAATTTTATATATACAACACACAATTTTGCATTAAGAAGGTGTTAATCAAACTTACCTCTTCCGTCATCCCGTCATGAAAATGTGTGTCCAACAACCTCGATAAAAGTTGACATTCTATGACATGATGAATTCTTTTTAAATCCTCTTTGGTCATATACCTCATCATGTATTCGTCTACTTAAATCACTGGCTTAATATTTTTACCGATACTTAGAAATACATCAAGGGTTAGATTTTCAATTTTATGGGTCGACATTCTATTCATAGTGTAACAATGACACTTGCGTAATAATATATCTTATTTTCATTAATGTTTCAACATGTACAATACGTAGTTAAAAAAATACTTTAAAAGGTAAGGCTTCTTTTTGAATATTAATGTTATACTAATTTTCCTTGTACGTAAAGTTTCTTGATCGTTTTTTCTTAATATTCAACATAATATGGTTTAAATCTAATATTCGAGCTATCATAAAACAAAAGGAAATTAATTCTAAAATTCCGTATTGAATATAGGAAGAGAAAAATACATCGAAAATAAGGCACTTGACTCATTTGCAGATTTGTCTCGGCTTAGCAAATAGATTTCGTCTTGTCGATGAAATAAATTACCATCTGTTGATGTTTCATTGTAAAATGAATTTGTATTGGAGGTGAATATGGCTCTCAGTCTCATACGATACAACATATTGATAAAAAAATAAATTATTCAAGCAGTTCTTGATATATAAATACCTTAGTAGCCTAGGTTGCACACTAAAGGACTCCTGTATTTTAAACAGTTTACATACCAAGCATAATTGTTGGAACGGGTTACACATTATCATAGTACATAAAACATACTAATGGTATATCCGGTTTACTGACTATCATGTGTTGACTTAACATTGAAAATTGTTTATGTGATTGTCTCAATAAAGATTGATAATTTGATTGACATAATTGGATATTCAATCCGGAATTTATCAATGTATGAATTATATAGATAGGTAAATAACGTGTACAGGCTACAAACCTAGATTTGATGTGGAGAGGGGGTCCCTAGAACTTAGGACTAAAAATATCAAAATGTATTCATATATCACAACTCGTTCGCTATGCCCGTGTCTGTTGTGACGTTTTGGATTTTAACGAACGTAATCTATGTATTACTGGCAAATTATGAAGCCAGGGATTGCGTTACCACAAATTACTTAAAACCTTTACTAAATTCTTCCACAGATATACAGATTTTGTTTTGAAGTTTGGTTGTACCTGTAGAACACTTATTTCAAACGGCATAGCACATCCTCATTTTTACGCAGATGTTGTTTACCGTGCCCGGAAATTTAGAAACGATACTGGTAAACTTATCGATCCTTTAAATAAACTTATTCTAAAAGGTTACCAATTCAACACTGTAATTAGATCTTTGAATATTGTTATTCTTGGTATTAATATTAATTTTGTTATCCGTATATTAAAAGCAAACTAAATAGTATTGATATATATACATATGCACATTCATGGATCTCCAATCTGTCGATACCTGTATCTTGGCATTGTACAAGGTCATGTTTTTATCTGATTGTTTATGACGTCTTTACACTAAATCCATTGGCTGTTGGGTGTGTAATGATTGATAATTTAGTCTTAGATGCATGCTTTGTTTTATTAGTTGTTATTGGTTTTGAACTAGCTGTCAGTGCCTGCGAGTACTCTCAGATCTGTACTTAGTGTCTTTTAGTTGATAGGATGTACAAGTACCGGCCACGTCCACTATGTGTTTTTGTTAGATGTATTCATCTGATGAGTTAAGCCTTTTTCAACTGATTTTCATAGTTCGTTCTTACTGTATGTTATACCGTAACACCACTGTCCAAGGTTAGGGGGAGGGTTGGGATCCCGCTTTTTGTACATAAATTAGGCCGTTAGTTTTCTCGTGTGAATTGTTTTACATTTTTCATTTCGCGGCCTTTTATAACTGACTATACGGTATGGGCTTTGCTCATTGTTGAATGCCTACGGTGACCTATAGTTGTTAATTTCTGTGTCATCTGGTCTCTTGTGAAGAGTTGTCTCATTGGCAATCATACAACATCTTCTTCTTTATATTAGAAACAAATATAATATTTATAGTTGAAGTTAGATAATGAAATACATGATGGCCAAGTGACTTTTATCCTTGCCGGTTTAGAACGATTTTGAGGGAACGCATCTATCTCATCAAACTTGAGATAAAGGATAGAACAGATACAGTTAAGTCTGCCTCATATCTTGACTTACATCTAGAAATTGACAATGAGCGTCGGGTGAAAACAAAACTTTACGACAAAAAAGATGATTTCATCTTCCCAATTGTAATCTTTCCATTTATATGTAGCAACATTCCAGAAGCGCATGCATACGGAGTATATTTCTTCAAGTTAATACGATATTCCAGGGCTTGTATTCCCTATTATGATTGTCTTGACAGAGGGTTGCTGCTCACAAGGAAGCTATCAAACCAAGAGTTCCAAGTGGTGTAGTTGAAATCATCCCTTCGTTAGTTTTACGGACGCCATCACGAGTTGTTTGACCGTAATGGAATATCCGTTTCACAGATGATAACGTATATGTTCTTAATGTCGAAACTACAGTCTCGTCCCCTATTTCCAGAATGTGACCTACATATTTAGACATATTACCTGGTTTGTATTAACATGAGCAAACGACGGGTGCAACATGTAGAGCAGGATCTGCTTATCCTTCCGCAGCACCTGAGATCACCCCCAGTTTTCTGTGAAGTTCCTGTTGCTAAGTTCTTAGTTTATATGTTGCGGTTTGTGTACTATTGTTTTTCTGTTTGACTTTTTCTTTTTTAGCCATGGCGTTTTCAATTTATTTTCGACCTATGAGTTTGAATGTCCCTCTGGTATCTTTTGCCTCTCTTCTTCATGTTTAAAAATTATGGAATATTTTCTTCTGTATAAAATTTATGTAATAGATTCATTTTTGTTAACTAATATTTATAAAAAGTATGATGTAAATGGTAGGTTCAACTCTCATAAATTATACTCTTTTTCGATAATGTCAATCATCACGCTAAGATGATTAAAAAACATTACGGAATTATTTATGAATTTTATTAACAAACGATTAGTATATATTGGCTATGTTTTATATAACTTATAAACTAAGATCGACGTTCAAGATTACTTAAACCTTTAACAAATTTGCAAAGAATTGTTTCAGAAATGATGTCAGCATTGATACCCTTCATGAAAAAAGCAACAGGACACACATAGATAGATAGAACAAGACAAAAATAGGTAAGAGTAGTTAATCTTCTTTGTAGTAGGGTATGTTCACGTCTATTTCATAATGGTATTGCTGAAGTTGATCAAATCTACGAAGTATTACATACATTACAATGTATTAAGAAATATCATATTTGTTTAAGATTGAAGACAAAGGAAGCATAAATGTTCTTATTTTATTAAGTCAATTGCTAAAAAATCAAACGTTTAAAGAACGGCATGAGAATAATGTTTAAAATATTTGTATCAAACGTTACTTAAACAATTTATTGGGATACACCAATCATCTCTACGAAGAATTAAAACACAACACACAAAAATAATTTTAATATACTGTAACAGAAAGTTTTTACGTTTTGTAATTTCTGTCTCACTTTCGACATAATTATCTAACTGTTTACCCCTGTCTGCATAAAGAGTTCGAACCCAGTACCTGAGTCTCTGATCCTTCATTTTTGGCTTTTCAGAGCGTAACACTTACAAGTTTTCATAGTTGGTTAGTGAATAATAATTTGAAAAATATGAACAAAAGATAAAGATAAAGTATTTAAAATGTACAGCAGTTAGAATTAACTCAAAAGTAACAAAATTCAATTTGTCATTCAAACTCTTGTCTAGATCCATAATGATGCTACACAGAAGAATGACTCTTAGTCTAGATGCATTAACATGCAAAAATAATGTCATCTTCTCTATCATGTCTATGGTGTTAACACTCATGTATGTGTAAGACCAGAAAGCTTTACTTTAAAAGCTAAAACTTGTCATTTCTTTTCTATAATTAGAAGCAGACTAGTCTGAAGAAACTAGGCGGCTTTCTGGTTAAATCTCAGTACAAATATTTATCTCAAAAATTTATTTGACAAAAGCAAGATGAATAGAAACACGAATAACTAAATAATAAGTTGCAAATTTAACAAAATCTGTGAGTATATTCAATGAACTATAGCATAACAAAGTCACTAAACATGTTGACATATAATACAATCATATGTATGAATAATTTAATTAAACAGTAATCCTAATTTGTCAATTTTACAACTATTCATAATAAAGGGAAGAACAGATGTTTCCAAAAGTAGGTACTCCGTTACACAACCATAAATATAATGTCTTAAGAAAAGCTGTGAACGTTGATTTTTTTAGGTCAATACAGTGTAAAATGATTTATTCAGGCGTTTTATTTTTGGAAGTTGTGGTAACACTTGCAGGTAATTATTTTAACAATGCTAGTTATATTTATTCCCATAGATGTATTTGTTTTGCGTATTATGACTATAAATGCTGGAAAAAAATGTGCTACTTGATTTCTGATGCATGCTATTCCAAATGACGAATGGGATATATCAGGCATACGCCAAAAAGTCATAGAGTAAAAAGTCACCAGCATTCATAAAGCAACTTACTGTGTTCGACAATAAGCAAATGCATGGCCATTTAGTATGTCTAGTAAAAACACGCACCGGTTCTATAGACATTAAGTGAACATTGAATTGCAGATACCCGCCTTTAGCATACACTTCTATGAGGACCAAAATACTTGTGTGTGTGTTCGATTGATTGATTGTTGGTTGCTTAACGTCCAGTGGCAAATATTTTCATCCGTTTCAGGACCAAAACCAATTAACAATATATACGATAGGGAAGCCCTGCTATAGAGGTGGTCAGAAACGATGGTCATGGACTTTTAACTGTATTGGCAAATGAGAGTATATAGGATAGGGACACACATTTTGCATTGCAACAGGTTACCTACGGAACCCTCAAATAGTTGATGCTACGCTTCTTAACATACGGAGAGCCTGGCATTCTCTTTACACGAGCCATCGACTTTAAACAAGAAGCGAAAGATACCAAACAGACATTCAAACACATTAGTCGAAAACAATCTGACAACGCAATGGCACAAAAACGAAATAGACAAAAAGACAAAAAACAGTATGCAAAACACAACATAGAAACAAACCAGAGCAACACGAATCCTACCAACAATTGGGGGTGATTTCATATGCTCCGGAATGGAAAGCAGACCCTGCTATTCATGTGTCAACCGTCGTTTTGCTCATGCAAATACGAACTTGGTGAAAAGTCTAATTCGGTAGGTCACATTCGGGGAAAAGAGGACGGGCTTGTAGTTACTACAATTGGAAAATATCCATTATCATCAGTGAAATAGACAGTCCGCCCCATTTTTACAGGGCATAGCTGAGAACTTTTACATCCCAAATGGTCGCCTCACTTTTTCTCGGAAGAAGATTAAAGTGATCAGATTTACATGTATATTCCCAAAACATATATCTTGTGTTTGGAAAAACATATTCTACTGTAACAGCTTAACATTCTAAGCTTTAATAACTTTTTTGCTTTCTATCTAGATCAATCAATGATCTATCAAATTTGAACAATAAAAGACGACACAAAAAAAAAATAACTGTGGTAATACCGTTTTTTTAAATCAAATTTACAATGATTTCAATTGTTTGTTTTCTTCAGTTTTCACTATATTCACTGACTAGTATCATTACAGAGACTGTTTTGAATAAGATTTTAATCGGTATAAATATCGATTTGTTATCAATGAATTAAAACCGTAATATACATAATTGTTAAAAACATAAGTACATTTACGTTCCCATAATCTGGGATACCTATAGTTTTGCAAAAGGTCACGTGTTTCTTTGACTGTTAATAACATATATACACTAAATCCATTGAAATTGGAAATGTACCGATCGATATTAAAGTCTAAGATACATGATGTTTTTAAGTAAATGTTATTGGCTTTGAAAAGGCTTTCAATAACTGTGAGTACCTTCATGTCTGTACCTTTTGTCTTTTGTGTTTTTGTTGGTTGTTTGTTTGCATTTGTATCGATCAGAAGAGTTTAGACTTTTTCAAATGATTTTTATAGTTTGTACTTATGTTTTGCTGTAACACCACTGTTCAGGCAAGGGGAGGGTTGGCTTACCTGCAATCATGTCTAACATCGCCAAATTCTGTATGTGTCTGAGTCAGGAGCTATCATTGAGTGGTTCCTGTTTGTTGCTGTATCTCATAGTTGTGTTGCTTATTGTTTTGTACATCATTGAGGATAGTTTCTTGTTTGAATTGTTTTAAATTCGTAATTTCGTGGCGTGTTAAAGCTTGTTAAACAGTATGAGTTTTGATAATTGTTTAAGGCCGTATGTTAACTTATATCATTTGGCATCTTGTGAACAATTGTCTGATTGGCAATCATACCATATCTTCTTATTTTTATATTTCTTATATCCTAGGTAATTTCGAAATTAGCTTAGAAAAGGTAAAATAACAAAAATACCGAACCGAATGAATGCCGTAACTTTACAACAAGTGGCCATCACTACTAACTTATTGAAAACACAGGAACCTTCTAATTATAATTATAATACTTATATGTTGACTGGTAAAACACCCATACATATCCTGTCCTACGAAGACAATGTGCATAAGACTGTCGCTGCTGTTGTTTTGTCGTTAAGATGGAGTCCCATTGACGTATACACTTTATATATTGGCAGTGGTCACAACGGATTCTAAGACTAAATGATTTCACTACCAACCATTCACATATTGCATATCGTTATAACCTTTTTACCTATAAAGTCTCCTACCATACAATTTAAATCGATATGATTTTCCTGATGGTCCATTACGGTAGTAAAGCTCTCCGTGTATTCAGGTTTTTATACATCCTTTGTTTAAAATTGTAAGGGTTGATTGTTCATCATTAAATTATTATCTTGTTTTGGTGATACCAAGTTTAGTTTGGAAAATTAGAATTAACAAATGTATATGTTATGATACAAAAACAATTGAAAAACTGTAAATACGTAAAACTGAAAAAGCTAAATATTAGCAAGGTAACATCGGAAACATAAATGTTAATATGCAAATGTGAATGTTGTTGGATATTTATGATACATGATATTATGCTACTTATAATTAACAGCTTCGCAGCCTAAAGTAGACGTGTACAGTATAAGGCAAACCAATGTTTGGCCACCTGGATACAATGTCAAACTGATGGCTGATGTTAAAACTCACGATAACTCAACTGTAGTGAAATGGATATTTCAAAGTCAGTTTTCAAACACAACTCGGTATATTGATACATCTGAAAATCATAAAAAGTACAGCGGAAGCACTCTCAGATATCCGTCTCTTTTGATATGGAACTTAACGTATTCGGACTCAGGACAGTATCGCTGCACTGCTATACATATAGATGGTACAACTGAGAGCCAGAAAGCTATACATGTAGTTGTTAAAGGTAAAACACAAGTATTCGTTAAAAGCAGCTTTAATTGATTGTAATTGAGAACTATATACCTATTACTTTGTATGCAATGAAACTCAATAACGTGTATTCCATGAAAGAAAATACTTAAAAGCAAAATTTCACGTGTCTATGGAAAATAAGTGAATAAACTAGCAGTGAATGAGTGCGTGACATATAATGAAAACTTATCTATCGATATAGAAAAAAAACTAAATAATACCTATTACATCAGATAGTATGCATATTCACATCAACTCTGTCAGCACATCAGTTGTATAATTTATACACGTTGAATTATTGATATCACTGTACATTTCCTCGTAATGTATCTAACTTGATATCAACAGGTAAGTAGTGTTGAATTGTTTGAACGCCCCTATCAAAACCATTAGCAAAAGTTTCAAAACAAAAAGTAAAACTACAGAAGGAAAACCATCAGTCGATGATATTAGATTCAGAATTTGGAATTTAAAAAAAAAAATAATTCCGAACAAGGTAAATGTAGAAAAGGAGAAAACCATACAACCTGTCAACTTCAAACGTTAGACTATATCAACAAACGGAAAAATGGAAAATAACTATCATATTCATGACTTGGTATAGGCATACTACTGTGAAGAGAATGGTGAGCTAAACTTCCCACTTGTATGACAGTTATTTATATGTTCCGTCATATTGAAAAAATTGGGCGAGAAAACCAAAACAGACGTAATTGTTTTTAATATGACAATAATTAAGATTCAGCTGTTTAACCTGTGCAAATATAGATCACAGACATTCAACACAACTTGATTAACATTTAACCAGTCAAAACCATGGTGAAATAAAAGTTATAAGTTTCTCCTTTTCTAATGATCTAATTAATGAATTGTAAGATAACATTGATAACGAGTATAATTTATATTTTGATATTCAAAACGTATTTCGAGAAATACAATTTCTAGATATATCTTATAACACATCACTTTTTAACAGATATAATTTATACAGGTTCTTTTAATAGAGCGTGACCTTCTAACTATGACGGGTCATCGAAATTGAGTTCGTCATTTTCATAAACGTAGCTTTGAGAAACTCTACTTATATGTCCGTCATGTTATATGTTATTCAGATCTCAGATGGGGTATATAATGTGACATTCCCGGCTAAGGGTTTATACTCCCTGAGCCGCATCTCGATCCCAGACAGGGTGTATAATTTGACATTCCCGGCTAAGGATTTATACTCCCTGAGCCGCAGGCGAAGGGGATATAAACCATAGGCCGGGAATGTCACATTAGATACTCTGTCTGAGATCTGAATTACTCACATATTTAAGAAATAATTCAAGCCCCATGAATCATTTCTATTCTAATGCAGCAATTCTTTTGGATCGAAGTGCTCTAGGCGAAGGAAAATATTTGCCGTTCCCGTAAATAAACGCACTAGTACATTGACGTAAGAGAACGGAGCAAACTGAATCAGTGACATGCCTAAACTATTTACAATAAAGTATTTAGATAGGCTTGGATGAATTTAATAATTACTTTACATATATGTAAAAACAAATGGCTTGTAACACATTTTAGCGTCTTCTGTTTACGTTTCCTTGTGATGATTTTCGGTTTCACAATATTACGTCATCGTTCAATGACGTCGCATAGCTCATTCATAATAAATTATATGACGTGTGAGTATGATCGGGAACAGCCCAAACAATATAGTCATATTTTACCGAGGGTGTGTACTGAAAGCGTTTGATGAACGTCATATTAAAATACAGATTACCCCTGCCTTCATGTTTTTTCCCAGTACCAGGTATTTGTTAAACATTCACAAGGATTTTAAAATTTGCTTTTACAGTTATTTATCGTGTATGAAATAATTTACAATAACACGTTAAAATATTAATCTTAAGTATCTGGATTGTAAATTGCGTGATTTTAAATTAAAAACGTATTATTGACGGATGCACGTCATTATTTTTCCTCTGTGAGCCACTGACCTATAAGTGTTCTGTAACAGGTGTTTTGATGACGTTTTTGCAGTTCCAATTGTGGTAAAAACGTCGTATATACCCCGGCAGTTTACTTAATATGTTCTGACATTTCTTTGGTGTTATCGAATCACAAAATTTGACACATTTGTAATCTGTAGTATATATATATATAAAGGACATGATATCATTTTGTATTTTCCCGAACAATGATTTTGATTGCAAAAATTAGTAACATGGCGTTCTAGGTTAACAAGATCTTTTTCCAGATGTTCCAATGGTAAAAATTGAACAAACTGCATACCAAGCCGCATTTGGAAAATCGGTCCAAATGAAATGTCAAATTCGATCTATCCGTTGGCCTGTTTTGTCTGTGTTTTGGGAAAGACATGTTAGCGGTGGTTCATCAATTCTCCATAGCGGATTGTCAGGCATATTGGGCGCATCTATTGATCATCCATCCTTGACAATAAACTATGTAAGTGTTGCGGATGCAGGGACGTACAAATGCTGTGCTACAAACAAGATTGGCATCGGCAAGAGTATTGAAGCATATCTGACAGTCATAGGCGGTGAGTCTATTTTGATATTCCAGGTTAAGTGATTTACAACTGAAGCTTCAAAATAATTATTTTCTTATTTAAAATGCAAACAAAAGTTATTTCAAGGACAAACATTAGACTCAACAGTAGTTTACCGAATTTTGATATTTCGTTCATAGATACAAATCAAGGTAATTAACAGACCAGACAACTAAATTAACTCTGATATTCATTCTTTATTCATTTACAACGAATATGTTAAACAATGTATTTATTGATCAACATTGTTTTTTAAATTCTAGATGTTCCTATTGTAAGCCAATCGTATAGTACGTATTTGGAAGTACTTTATGGTACGACTGTTACAATAAACATTACTGTTGAAAGTGAACCATCCTTGCTAGAAGTGTATTGGACGTTCAAAACAAATGACAAAGTGATAAAAATTAAACCAGGCACCGTTGGAATGAACGGTGGTAACATGAATACCCCTTCACTGACAATTTTGCATCCAACAAAATTCCATATTGGAATCTATATCTGCTACGCTACGAATCTTCTTGGGACAACGCATAGTAAGAACATACATCTAAATGTAATTGGAGGTAAAATAGTGTTTGAGATGACAAATACCTTATCTTTTGAAATAAAATCAACATGCTATATTGTCTCACATACTATAAACAAATAATATCCTATCAATGTTATCTCTAATACTAAATACAGTTAATAATTATCAGAGATTGATTACCAATTTTTGAAATTCCTTTCGTAGCAATATCATCATAAATTAAAGCCGTTTAGAAATGATGAGGTTTCCACAGACATTTATGAACGGTGACAAATCTTTTAACATAATACAGCAATTGTTATTTGATTGCAATACTAGGAAAATGTTAAGAATTATTTTGGCAGGGAAGCGTTAAAAGTGATCTAGCAGTGTAGAGGAAGTCGGTACACTTATAGATCAGACCTTAGTTTCATACTCAGACACATCGTATGTTTAACAAATTGTTGCGGTGACTGGGAATCATGTGCTTTATTGAATTCAGTCTATCGTCCCCATTATCCTGGTAAATTGAATTTGTTTTAACAGGTTTAAATCCTGTCTTATTAAGACAAATTAAGATGATGACAGCTAAATTATTGTTTGACAATTGAAAGGTTCTTGACAATATAGCAAAGTGTAACAAATAACATAAGTTACCAAAACGAGAATCCGCGGAAAAAAGACATACAACAGTGAAAATGAACATTTAGTAGGCCAGACCTATGATTACCCAAAGATCTCCCTATTTAGACAACGTGTCGTAAACTGAAATCACACAATAAATCAGCGTTGATAATGTATCTTTTCGTTATTTCCAGATATACCAAATGCTGGTATCATTCATGACGAATATTTAACTTATTTTGGGAGCAATATTACTTTACACTGTCACGTAACGGGTACTCCTAAACCAACAGACGTCTACTGGGAAAGAAGTGTTAACAATGGTTCAAAAATTATTAGATCCGATACAGCTGGAATACATGGCTCCACACTAGAATCGCCGTCATTGACAATACTCTATGTTACTACATTGGATACTGGAATGTACATGTGTCACGCTGTGAATCTCGTTGGCATTGGAAGAAGTCGTCAAATAAAACTGCAAGTTGCAGGAGGTAGGTTCAAAGATGATATGCAAGTTCATTCAATTACTTTAAATCCTGTGCCATTGTTTCTTTTAGACCATATAATTACATTATGTTAAAACTATTAAGAATTATTCAGTGTATGTCTAGATAACATATTTTGTTTAGATCAGTTTAGGATTGAAGTCACAAATAAATAAACCTCTTTGTTTTAGATATACACTTGCATATAGTTACTTTGTAAATCAAAATTTATATTAAATTGCCATTCATAAATTAATGTAGAAAATGTGATCTATCAAATTTATGCAGTTGATCAAAAGATGGAAGTTTTGTTATCAGTATGTTATGTTCCTGTAAGATATTGAATTTGGTTAAAAAAAGCGAAAGATATCAAACGGATGTCCAAATTCATAAGTCGAAAAAAATTGACAATGAAATAACAAAATACGTAAAACAACAAGGAAAACATAAAAAGACTTTAAACTAAGCAACTAGGACCCCACCAAAATTTGGGGGTGATCTAAGGTGCTCCGGAAAAGTAAGCATACCCTGCACCACATTTGGCATCTGTCGTGTTGATCGTATTAGTACAAATCCGGTGAGAAGTGTAATTCGGTATTCAAGAAAAAAAGGACAGGATTGTGGTTATTACGATTTGTAAATATCTGACGTCATATGTGAAAGCGATATTCCATAACGGTCAACAAACTCATGAAGGCCTCTGTAAAATTGTCGAAGGAGTGATATCATTTTCACAACTTGGAAAACTTGGTTTACTAGCTTCATTGTAGGCAATAACATTCTAGCGAAGCGCCATTGGTACTGAAATAACACAATGCTCATCGATCAACTGAGCATGTTGTTACTTGGTAAAAAAGTGCAACCCTGTTAATAAGGAAATTCCATTGCAAGTACAAGTTAGGTTTTGCGGATCATTTGTGCAATTTTCATTTTTGACTTTGCTCCTATAATATTCAACTGAGGAAAAATATAGCTGCAAACAATGAAAAAAAAAATGGATATCTCGGGGGCAATGTTTCTTTAAAAATGCTGAGGAATTTTCCATTATTTCCAGGGTAGATAAATCTTGGTCTGCTAGTCCTTTTTTTCAACTTTTAACTAGCTCTTATCATATTCAAGATAAGAGACAAAATCTTCAACATTTAGGGATATAATTCCAAAACATGTTGTTAGATGTTTGCGAATTTTTCAGAGTATATATATTTGTCATAATGATCATTTGTCTATTACATTTTTGCCCAGTTCGTCCGATGTTATAGACATTCAAGAGAGTAGTCAAAATCTGTGAAATTGGAAAACAAATTAAATTTCACATACAGGGTTAGATTTTCTGAAAATATTGAGGAGTAATAGAACTTTAATAATGAACATTTTTAAAACCATAGTTCACATAGTTTAAAAACAAAAAAAAAGTCGAAGGATACCAATGAGACATTCAAACACATAAGTCGATAGTAAACGGACAACAGCATGGCTAAAAAAAATCAAACAAAAAACAGCACACAGAACACAACATAAAAGACACAAAACTGAACAACACAAACCCCACCAAAAAGTGGGGTGATCGCAAGTGAAAGGGTAAGCAGATCCTGCTCCACATGTGGCACCTGCCGTATTGATCGTGTTAGTACAAACCGAGTGATAAGCCTATTTCGGTCAGTTGCATTCGGGGAAAAGGGGACTGTAGTTACGACAATTGTAACATAACCGTTGTCATCTGCGAAACAGATATTCCATAACAGTCAACCAACTCGTGTTAGCGTCCGTAAATTTTACGACGGGACGATTTTAACTCCATCAATTGGAACTCTTGGTTTAATAGCTTCCTTGTTAGCAGAAAATACAAGTCCTGGAATATTGTATCAGTTCGAAGAAACATTTTCCGTATGCAGGCTCTGTTGGAATGTTGCAACATTAAAATGGAGAGTTCGAAATTGAGAAACTGATATCATCTCTTTTATCGTAAAGTTTGCTTGAACCGACCATCATTGTCAATGTCTAGACACAAGTCAAGATAAGGGGTAGACGTAAGTGTATCTGTTGTATCCTTTATCTCAAGTTCGATGGGATAGATGAGTTCAGCATAGTCACCAAATTTTGAATGATTTAGTGGGAGAAAATCCTATATACAACGGAGAATGAAGTTAAAGAATACTGCTACCTTTTCAAGAACTGTTAAAAAGGAAATACAAACATTTGAAGGGCAATAACTCTAAAAAAAGGTTACATACATTTTTGTAAACTTTGAAGAAAATAGACTTTGTTTTGCTGACCATTGTTATAGGGTTGGTTTTCTTCTATTGTTACGAGATGTTAGTAGGAAACATCAATTTGGCCCCTCTGTTCTTTATGTAGCTACCATGGCTACGGCGGCCATGTTGGTTGATAAACCATAAAACGAAAATACTGAAATCTAGAGAAGACAACATGTATCTGAAGTAGACATATTTGGTTTCCATCAATTGAGCGGTTTTAAAGTAAAGGATTTTTACAAACAAGATTACGGCTGACAGACAACGGACGATGTACACACAGAGATGGGTATAGCCCTATCAGTCAAATGTCCACATCCATAACCATTTTGAAGACCACTGAGAAACTAAAGTTAGAAATTTAAATTTGTAAAAAGGCAATAGTGGTTTGAACTTGAACGGATATGACATTTATATAAACAGCAATTTCTTAATTTGTCGAGAAAACGCGTAGAAATAAAGGCCTTTTCCATAATGATATAACTGCATTTATTGTGACGTCATCGATAAAATTCAGCCTGTTAATAATTGTATATTACTTCAATTTAGCTCCTGGAATTTAAGAAAAGTAAAATTACTTGTCATTCAAAAACTATTCTAATTAAAATATAGATTAATTAACAGAATACTAGTAACATAAAGCTATGGTCGTTAAGTTCTAATAAGTCATGGTGGTGTCACTGTCATGTCATAAACATGTTGAAATTGATAAATACATGTACATGCATCATTGTACATGTATATGTATTTGTCATTAAAAAATTACTGTTTTACACATAATTTCAGACAAACAACATTTGAATTACAACCTAAATCTAATTGTGAAAAATGTTTTACACACATAGTAAGATCTGTGAAAATTCATCTTGTACAGAAATGTTCAGTTGCAAAATAACTTTAAAATGGTAAAACATTTGCTCCTTTTTCTATTTTTATGACACTTAGATCTCAAAATGAAGTTTGAAGCCTAGGCCTGATGCATTAAGAATGTACATGATGTAGGACACAATTGACAAATAGACACATATTAGTATTTGTCAGAATAATATATAAATTTTAACACATCAAGATTTTTTATTTTCAAAATCAGATAAATGTATGTACAATGTACAAATACAATATATTTTTTTTTATCTGAACTGTCTATTAAGTCACAGGCACTAGACTTTCTGTCAGTAAAAACAAAATAAGGGCAATGGGAAGAAAATAGTGTCCATATATCTGTATGGACACTATTTTCTTCCCATTGCCCATATTTTATTACTATTAGCAGAATGTCTTAGAGCCTGTGATTAAAACTGTGTATATATAAATTTTGTTCATGTTCATGTATATTATTTTATGTAAATATTTTATTCTTACCAGCTGCAAGTTTCGTGTTGACATTAAATATTCCAACACCAGTTTTTTTACTGTCAGGGGGTCGATGAGTCTTTCCAAATTTCAACTTGTTGATGGTGCCACACTGCGTACATTGAATGTACATCATTCCAGAAACACCCATTGGTCTCACCCCTAATGCATTTGACAAGTGCATCTTTTCACAACAAGTTTCACAATGTTCTAATTGTTCAACTACATAATCAAGTTCAATTATGAATCTGCAATGACATAGGCTGACCAAATCATAAGGAAGTGAATGTAGGGAAAAATTGTTAGGGTCATTTGCCACCAAAGTCTTGCATTTTTTAACTTGGCAAATCTGTCAACCTGATGTATTTTTGAAAATTTTCCTTTGTAGTTTCTTAAATCATATATATACGGACCCATTCTCAAAGCGAAAATAAAATAAGTAATTAAGACATTTCCTTCAGCAGACGATTAAAAATTGTTGATGATTGTCGCTAAAGTGGTTTTACGAAGACATTTTTCTTGGCCAATTTTGCATTCACTTACCTTAAATATGTTGATTTGTTGGACAGGGGCTGTTGGCGGATAAGAAAGTAGCTTAAAAGTATACCCAAAAGAGGATCACATTTTAATTTTGTAGATTCCCTAGCGGGTATTTGTAAAAAGCAGCTTTCTTTTCGATAAAATTTTCACCACCATTGTTTTCATCGCAACCGGAAGCATCGCCACTCACTTTCAAGACTGATAACTCTGTTAAAATCGAAAATATAAATAACGATAATAATTTTTTAGTGACAAAAATACAATAATTTAACATTTTTAATCAATCAAAAAAATAAAAAAAAATAAACGTGAATTTACGACACAAACTTGTAATTTTTTGTGTGCATGGTAATTCATGCGTGAAATTATGCGCAGTCGAATATTCCCGATCCCCCTTAATAAACACGTCAATGAACATGTTAGATAAAAAGAATAAAATTTAAATAAAATATGATGCCCATATTTCATGTATTTTCCAATTCTTATTCGACCGATTTGACTCAAATTCTCATATTTAATTTATAACATACAAATATTTATGTGGATATAACAAAAAGGCCAAAAGACACATAAACATTGTTTAGATTTGTTATACTGTATCAAGATGTCTTCAAGATAAATAAAGGAAACAGTTACTGTAGTATACCGCTGTTCAATAGTCATAAACCGATTAAGCGAAAACAAATCCGGGTTACAAACTAAAACGAGGGAAACGCATCAACTTTAAGATAAAAAAGCGGAACAACAGAAACACTTAACTGCAACAAAAACAAACGCCAACATACATAGAAGCGGCATATGTGCCATATATACCACATCTTCTTATATCTATATATGTGATAACAACTGCAATATTCCTTACATGGTACAGGACACTCAGGACAGAGAAGGTCATAAATAAATACTATAATAGTACGTTACAACATATAAACCACAGAATAACAACGAAAGATCCGTCTAATTATAAATCGAGTTGACCTCCGATGACTGCCGACATTCATATAACCTGATATAAACATAAACATAGATACAATTGGACGGAGTAGCACGTCCAAACGTAAAGGAGGATGTTCGAGGTCTGTTTGTTTTAATTTATAGGTTAAAACTATATTAAGAATGAATTTTGTTGCCCGGAGCTGTCAATAGAATGGCTATTCCTGATGTCTCCCTTGTACATGCCTGTACCATGTTAAGCATATGACAGTAGTTTTCCAATTCGTTTGATGTGTTTTAGCTTTTGATTTTGTCATTTGACAATGAACTATCCATTTTAAATTTTCCTTGGAGTTCGGTATTTCTGTTATCTTATTTTTTGTTTTACTTTTCAATTTTGACATTCGTTTCTTTTTTATGAATGCACATACTGACCGCATAGTGAACACATGCGCAACCCAGCTCCACTATATAAGTCAAAGTAGATTTATTAGGTATTGAGTTGGAGGCCAATAATACATCAGTTATATTCTAAATTATTTTGAAGAAATTAAACCACTGACTGGTAAAAGCGACTTACATTTTTATCTTCTGCTTTTATAAATGTTTGAGAAATCAAATTCAATTGTTATGTCTAACTCATAGTTAATGTCCCTTTAACGGATACTGACCATATCAAGGTTCAACATTTAATGCCAGTTTTTTTTTTTTTCACGAAACATACTTGTTGTTTATATCTTTTCAAAACTAGTTAATATAACAAACTTCAACAGAAAAACAACATAAAACAACAATATCAAAATTCATACAATCCAGCTTGTTAACGGTAAATATATGATGTTTATTGTCTTGTTGTACATATCATTCGTAATAAAAGTTACAATGCACAAGTTCAATTTGTTGAGCGACTATGCACAAATAAGATAAAGTTATAACTTACTCTCAGATGATAACCATTTCCATTTAGACGAGTCGACTGATAGGGCAAGTGGTAAAATTAGTTTACCCCGATCATCATTGACAAGAATTGTCATATCAATATACAAACAGTCGATTGTTCTATTCAGGAATTTTGGCTTTCTCCATCAATAATACACAAGGAGCATATACAGTTGTGAAAATATTTATTCCTGAACAGATAATTAAAAAGACATGACCGATATATATTTAACAGCTGCATCAGTTGCTACGACATTATATTGCCTTTTGTCATTTTAATACATTAATTCTCTTTGAAGCATTGCCAAACGTTAGCATACGAAACGCTATGTACATAACAGTTTATGGACAAATGGTTACGTTGGATTGTTCAATCACAGCAGATCCGCCTGCTACTATGGTTTATTGGATTAAGAATAAGAACGGTCTTAACTTCACATTATCTGTTGGGTCTATAGGAGTACTTGGATCTACTGTCGAAACGCCGTCATTAACAATTAACAATCCAGCAAAAAGCGATGCTGGTGTATACTGGTGCATTGCTATTAATGCTATTGGACACGGATCAAGTTTATCCTTATCTTTGATAGTAATTGGTGGTAAGTGTTACAATATTACAGTAATAGTGATAAACAATGATCAAAGTGTAGTAAATTCAATCAGAATTTTGATCGTGGCTATTAAAGGTTGTTTTCATGAAATCCAATTTGAGATTTCATAAAAAGCGTGTCAGAATTAGAACATGATATGTGTACATATATACAGTGATTTTTATGATATAGGTATTTTTTTTGGCAGTATTACAATAGTTTAAGTCTATTGAGTTTTTAGTACAATGTCAATGCACATGTGAACCAAAGACTAATTTCAATTCATATTTACAGATATCCCACAAGTCTTAATTGCAACAGATTTGTATTTTGCAAATTATGGATATGAACACACAATGGAATGTTTTGTGAATGCCACCCCTGAACATACATACGTCATTTGGAAACATGAAGTGTCAGGAGTTGTACGGACAATAAATGAAGCAACAACTGGTGTCCAAGGTGCTTCGGTAGATGTACCATCGTTGACGATCACTACAGTTACAACATCTGATATTGGTTTCTACACATGTATGGCAAAGAACTACGTTGGTATTGGAAGCAGTCAACCGATAGAGCTTTTGGTTAATGGAGGTATTATATTTTTTATTTTGTTCTCATGCTTGATTATTAGATTGACTTGACACACGTGCATTGTTAAACTAAAAGTTTTGCTGTTCATCAATGTGGAAAAAGCCAACATAACACAAACGATTAAAATTAAAAGATAAACACCTAGAACGACTTCAAAAATGATCAAAACTGAAACTGTCAAGTAAACTATAAACGAAGATGGACTTATCACTATAGATGTAAAGAAATGTCAGCTATATTGGTTCAGTTTTGCATTAAACTTTTGCAAATTTGATTACTGTCAGTACCGACGAAGATAATGTCGAAAATCCTAAGGTCAATGTTGATAAATTACCTCTGTTAATAAGCTTATTCAAACGACCTATACATTTGTATGGATCTTATAATAAGCAAAGAGGTCTATAAACATTAACCAAATTGAAATTTTTTTCTTCTTTTCGTACACAAAAGAAATAAAAAAGGCACCAAGTGGATCGAATACATTGAATCAAAAGTTTAAAGTTTTACAAGAATAGTATATGTGATGTCCTTGAGTTCTGAAAAAAAGTAAGGTAAAGTGTTTTCTAAATTCAGCTGATATTAATCATCTTATTCATAAACTCTTATTACAGTTCTTTTTTAAAAAGTCTCTGGAGGAAAATTGTCTCAAAGGCAATCATAACGGATCTTCTCATCTTTATATTCTCAAAATCTGCAACACTTGTCATAAATCTGTCACATATTTATTGTATAGGCGCTTTGCAATGACTCACGACTTGGTCTATGTTTTCGGTAAAACTAACACATTGTCGTAATTATAGGAATCCCAGAAGTCTTCATTGGTTTACCTAAATACACAATCAAGCGAGGAGAGGGAGTAACACTACTTTGTACAGTCAAAGCCAACCCTAAGCATGTTTTAGTCTATTGGAAAAAAATATTTGAAGACAGTAGTGTTATCTTGAAACAAGGAGCTACGGGTATTGATGGCATAACTATAGTCACACCTTCCTTAACTTTGAGAACAACTGACATATCAGATTCAGGAGAGTATACATGTTATGCTACTAACGAGATAGGAACAGGAAGGAGCAGATCAATTATACTTACGGGTTTGTTATCAATTCGAGTATGCTTTAGATCAACATGTTATATGGTTCTGGCATTTAAATTGATCTATAGTTTCATGAATATGAGTTTTATGACCAAATAAAATTCCTTTTATTTGGACACACTCGTATTTATTGGTACTATGGGTCTTCTATTGTACACACATACAAAACACAAAACGTCACGATGCAGCTATTAGACAATTTTGAAAACTTATTGATACTAGTGCTTACACCTTAGGCCTAGTACGACAGGTAATCTTTTGATAAGTGGTCATCTCATGGTATAAAATAAGTACAGACACTTACAAATATGCATCTAATTTACATTTTAAATACTGTATACAAAAATTATTTTCAATTTGGTAATATATTGGTTCTGTTTAGAAGCTGAAAATTGACCGATCTTCATACTTTGTAAAAGAAAGGGGAGGCAGTACTTTAAAAAGAAACAAGAACATGTGTACAGTCAAGATTTTATTTTGTCTAATTCTACTTCTTTTTTTTTTTAAATATTTCGTGAAAGGGCAGCCTTAACATTTGCATAGATTGAATACTAAGTACTCAAGATAACTCACTCAAAACGTTATTTCTATTTTTACTGTGAATTTATATGCTAATCATATCAAAATGTAGCATTAATATATAAACACAATGGATCTGAATTGAGATGATGTATCAAATAGTTTTGTTTTTTACGTTTTCAGGACAAAATCGTCGACTCAAACACGCTCGAACGTAAAACGGTATACCCGATTTTCTCTTTTGATAAGATTATTGTCCATTACCCCCTAAAAATTTCATGAAATGCACATTAATGCTTTAAATTTGATTCAACTTTTAGAGAAATCTGTTGAAATATCATAAATTCATCACTAAAAGAATTCCATAACTAATGAGAGTACTTGGTGTTTCTTGCTCCGATTCCAAATAAAAAATTACATAAAACCAATTACATAACAATGAATTTGACTTTTGTTTACTTCTGCTGAGTCAAACCAAGTTTTACGAGGTTATTCATTTAGCATATTATGACATTTAGACATTTTGATACGGTCCCTTTATATTTTTAATCAGTGTTGGTGTCGGTGTCGGTAAAAGTGTCCGTGTAGATGATTATTGATAATGTCTAGTCTATTAACATTGCTCACGCACATGTACAAAACAATAAAGCTACAAACATATTGAGGTGAATAAGACGTTTTTAAATTCCGATAGACACTTTTACTGCATGCAATTAAAAAGTCCTATTTTCATTCAGTAGCAAAGTTTCGACACCACTGCTGGTGGACTTTTAATCCCCAACTGTAGCATCAGCTCAGTACACTAGTAACATGAATTTCGATTGATCGGCAAAATAAGTATTAACCCTTCTTTTAAAAAGATTACTGAATATATAAATAAGATTGACAATGATTTACATTCATTTCAATTCATTTAAAAATTGTTTAATACCAGTCAGATAGATTCCTTTGCTGACATTCAAGTTAATTTTAGACCCGGTTAAGCTCTATCAAACATATTATCAACGCCCACTTTAAATAATATCAAACATTGTTGAGTCCCGTTAAAGTGCCCGCATGGTGATTCAGATAAGTCATTCAAGGATAAAAAACAAACCCGATCTGTTCCAAACGTTATCGATTTTAAACAAATTTGCTACTCTTTTTGGTGGTGAAATGATAATTAAGATTTCTGTTCTAACCTAATTTGTCATTCTTATGTGCGACGATTTAATGCATTTCAATCGATGCATCTTATCTTTTAGGTATACAAAAATATACAATAAATCTAAAAGTACCGACAATTAAAATAGTTTTCATTAAATGAGATCGTATAGTGTTTATAGAAATATATTTATGATGAAATATTCATTGTCCTCAAACAATACTAATAACATGTTTGAAATAGTTTAAAGGGGTAAATTCAGTAAACAGATTTATGATATTAGGGACCGACCATTTGGGAGAGAGCTTTCTGTTTAACACTGAAGTCATGTGCTCCTCTGTTAAAAGGCATTGATGCCAGTTTGATATTGTGTAACGGGGGTGTGGCTAATTAAAATTGAAAGCATTTTTTAGTTTTTGTCATCTTATTTATATATTCAGAAATCGTTCACTCAAACACGCTCGAACGTAAAACGGTATACCCGATTTTCTGTTTTGATAAGATTATTGTCCATTTCCCCCTAAAAATTTCATGAAATGCACATTAATGCTTTAAATTTGATTCAACTTTTAGAGAAATCTGTTGAAATATCATAAATTCATCACTAAAAGAATTCCATAACTAATGAGAGTACTTGGTGTTTCTTGCTCCGATTCCAAATAAAAAATTACATAAAACCAATTACATAACAATGAATTTGACTTTTGTTTACTTCTGCTGAGTCAAACCAAGTTTTACGAGGTTATTCATTTAGCATATTATGACATTTAGACATTTTGATACGGTCCCTTTATATTTTTAATCAGTGTTGGTGTCGGTGTCGGTAAAAGTGTCCGTGTAGATGATTATTGATAATGTCTAGTCTATTAACATTGCTCACGCACATGTACAAAACAATAAAACTACAAACATATTGAGGTGAATAAGACGTTTTTAAATTCCGATAGACACTTTTACTGCATGCAATTAAAAAGTCCTATTTTCATTCAGTAGCAAAGTTTCGACACCACTGCTGGTGGACTTTTAATCCCCAACTGTAGCATCAGCTCAGTGCACTAGTAACATGAATTTCGATTGATCGGCAAAATAGGTATTAACCCTTCTTTTAAAAAGATTACTGAATATATAAATAAGATTGACAATGATTTACATTCATTTCAATTCATTTAAAAATTGTTTAATACCAGTCAGATAGATTCCTTTGCTGACATTCAAGTTAATTTTAGACCTGGTTAAGCTCTGTCAAACATATTATCAACACCCACTTTAAATAATATCAAACATTGTTGAGTCCCGTTAAAGTGCCCGCATGGTGATTCAGATAAGTCATTCAAGGATAAAAAACAAACCCGATCTGTTCCAAACGTTATCGATTTTAAACAAATTTGCTACTCTTTTTGGTGGTGAAATGATAATTAAGATTTCTGTTCTTACCTAATTTGTCATTCTTATGTGCGACGATTTAATGCATTTCAATCGATGTATCTTATCTTTTAGGTATACAAAAATATACAATAAATCTAAAAGTACCGACAATTAAAATAGTTTTCATTAAATGAGATCGTATAGTGTTTATAGAAATATATTTATGATGAAATATTCATTGTCCTCAAACAATACTAATAACATGTTTGAAATAGTTTAAAGGAATAAATTCAGTAAACAGATTTATGATATTAGGGACCGACCATTTGGGAGAGAGCTTTCTGTTTAACACTGAAGTAATGTGCTCCTCTGTTAAAAGGCATTGATACCAGATTGATATTGTGTAACGGGGGTGTGGCTAATTAAAATTGAAAGCATTTTTTAGTTTTTGTCATCTTATTTATATATTCAGAAATCGTTCATAGATTTGGTACTGACAAGATTCATTACATGCTCTTTTACAACTGTGTTGCCTGCACATGTTAAAGTTTGGGCATTCCAGATAAAGGAATGGACAGAGAAACGATTCGGACACAAGAAATTAAAAAGTAAAATCACAAAAATACTGAACTCCGAGGAAAATCAAAACGGAAAGCCCATAATCAAACGGAAAAATCAAAAGCTCGAACAAATCAAACGTATGGACAACAACTGTTATATTCCTGACTGGGTACAGGCATTTTCTTATGTAGAAAATGGTGGATTAAACCTGGTTTTATAGCTAGCTAAACCTCTCACTTGTATGACAGTCGCATAAAATTCCATTACATTGACAATGATGTGTGAACAAAACAAACAGACATAATAGGTAAAAATGTCAAAAATAGAGGCACAGCAGTCAACATTGTGTTATTATCTTAACCACTATAAAAATAAACAAATATGTAAACAAACATTTACCGTGGCACAATAACAAAGAAACACAAACAGGCAACAAAAATAATGTATTATTGAAAAAGCTGAGATGTTTTGCATATATACATCAAATGAAAAGTTTATATTCTGGCAATTAACACGGCGACAACATGTATTTTGCACATTAGTAATATGTAAATACGACTAGTGTAGATTTCAATGAAAAGAATAAAACATGTTTCCGTAGACAGATGTATCCGAAAATACACATTTAGATTTCAACCTTTAAGGTATCAAATGTCCTATAAATAGTAGTTGAACCTGATTTGGCCAATATGTGTTATCACGACGCGTTTAGGTTTTTTTTGCCTCACATTTAAACTTGTGAACACGCACTAAAAAGTTATAATGAAGCATTTACGACAAACACAATTAGTTAATGTCAAACACTGAATCATTTCTTGCAAAAAAAGTATACAATATGTATTGATTGATATTAAAGTCTTAGATAGATATAAGAAGATGTGGTATGAGTGCCAATGAGACAACTCTCCATCAAAGTCAAAATTTATAAAAGTAAACCATTATAGGTCAAAGTACGGTCTTCAACACGGAGCCTTGGCTCACACCGAACAGCAAGCTATAAAGGGCCCCAAAAATTACTAGTGTAAAACCATTCAAACGGGAAAACCAACGGTCTAATCTATATAAAAAACGAGAAACGAGAAACACTTATGAACCACATCAACAAACGACAACTACTGAACATCAGATTTCTGACTTAGGACAGGTGCAAACAAATGCAGCGGGTTTAAACGTTTTGATGGTACCAAACCTTCACCCTTTTTTGAAACAATAGTGTAACATCACAACATAGAAAGACACACTATAAAATATCAACGTAAATAGCTTAACTCAATCAAAGGACATATTAAGACCAGTGAATATACACTGAACAAATAAATTTGACCTATGATACAATGTAAATACAAAATAAATAAACTTAGTACAATATTACCGTAGAATTTAGGATGTGAAATACCGTTTTTAATCAG